ATGTGGAAGGTTGAGACACTTTAAACACTTTTGTAAATTACTCATTCATTCGAAAGTAGCAGTGATCAAACCAGAATGGGTGATTCTCTTCGGGTGAACCCCTGCCGCATTCAGGTGCCAGCGATTCGGTGGTTGGGTGATGAGAAGGGTGGGCAACTTCCAAGATCAGAGGTGGGTATCACGAGAAATAATGAAGCTGGGAATCAATCTTGGGTGGAAAGATGGGGGTCGCAGATTCAACGAGATTTAAGTTTTCAAATGGTTAGTTTCTCGGAGGGGCGGGAGATGACTTGATAGACCACGATACCCTGATGAGCCAGAATGAAACAGAAGCATTGGGCCTAGCTAAGTCTATACATATTGCGGCCCAGTTCAAAGAAATAACAGTAGCTTAGGATGAGGGGAATAAACGACAAAGACAAACATTTTTTATGGTTGAAGAACAGGGGAATATATCGCTGAGAGGTGAACTGGCTATGTCTCTGGTCAAACCAACACTTGATAGATCGGTGAAGCCTATCCAATAAGCTCATCGGAAACCATGAAACCACTAAGTTAGAACTATCGAGGACTTGGAACCCCCCCCCCCCCCCCCCCCCGGTTAATGTTAGCACTTCACAAACTCATGAAGAAACATAAGCCGGATGTAGTCTTTATAATTGAAACCTTGGTCTGCAAAAATAAGTTGGAGACGATCAAAATAACACTATGTTATGATGGTATGTTTGGAGTTGACAGAACAGGAAGAGGAAGAAGGTTAGTAGTATTTTGGGTTCATTCATGTAATGTGGATATTCAGTCATTTTCAAAGAATCATATGATATGTGTTTCCACCGAGATCAATGACATGATTGGGACGTTATCGGGCTTTTATGGAATGTCCCAACGTCACCGCCACAGAGAGACCTAGCAACTACTCGAACATTTTAGCAAACAGAAGGAATACACCATGAGTTGTAAAAGGAGATTTTAATGACATGTATGAGATGGATAAAGATGGAGGAGCAGCATCATCTCAAACACTTATAACTAGCTTTCAGGAAACATTAGGAAGGTGTAATCTTAAAGACTTGCCATTAACAGGGTACGAGTTTATATGGAGTAGAGAGAGAGCATAAAATATTATTCGGGAGCGGATAGACAGTTGTATGGCTAACGATGTGTGGATCAACCAATTTCGGCAAGCTAGACTTGAGAACCTAAACACCAATTTCTAATCACTCACCCATTATTTCATTCTGTGATAGGAGGGAAACAAGTCCCAGAACTAAACGGTTGAGGTTTGAGAATGCATGGTTACTCAACCTTGAGGTAAAAAATGTCGTTCGGAGGAACTGGTGAGGCATGTATGAAAATAATATTTTGCAGTCCATCAGAGAATGTGGTGAGAGCTTACAAGAATGGGGTTGGAACTCAGTGAGTAATCTCAGGAAGCAAAAAACAGAATTGTATAGAAAGCTCCTACGGAAGCACAGACGTCGTCCTGCTCCTGATAGAGACACTCTTTATAGCCTTAACAGGTAGTACATTCAGGTCCTGGAATAGGAGAATGTATTTTAGAAACAGAGGGCAAAATCATTTTGGCTTCAACATGGGGACAGGAATTCGAAATATTTCTACTGCCAAGTTACCCAACAGAAGAGGCGAAACCATATGACAGCTTTGAGAGGTGATGATGGAGAATGGATAGATGATCAGGAGCCCCAAAGCCATATTGAGACTTCTTTCAAGGACTTATTCTCAGAATCAGAGGGCGAGTGGGAATAGGTGGTGAAGGTAGTCACCAGTAAAATAGACGGCAGGGCTAACAAGACATTATTAAAGCCACTTAGTACGGAGGAGATTAAGATTGCTGTTCTATAAATGCATCTGGATAAAGCTCCAGGCCCGGATGAGATGAACCCTGCCTTTTTCCAAAAATTATGGGGCACAGTTGGTGAAGATGTTGTGGTAAAAATTGGTTTGAATAGATAACGTTGTTGGAGCCTATAAATGAAACCACCATAGTGTTTATTCCTAAAACATGGAGGTCGAAAACTGTATAGGACCTCCATCCGATTTTGCTTTGTAATGTCATATACAAAATATTTTTGAAGATGTTGGCCAACAAGTTGGAGGAGTTGTTGCCGAGTCTAATTACGAAAGAATAGTCGGTCTTCGTTCCCAGCAAAAGCATGACAGATAATGTTTTGCTGGCTTTTGAGATTTTGCATAAAATGAAAACTGGAGGGAAGAGGAAGAGAATGGAACTGACAATGACAATTGACATTAGTAAATCATATGATTGCATTAGATGGGATTACCTAGAAGCAGTGTTGATTAAATTTGGGTTTGACAGAGCATGGGTGGACATGATAATGTAGTGTGTAAATTTACTAACCTACATAGTGAGTCTGAATGGAAGGATTTTAGGAAAAATCTTAGCTATTTATATTATGTACTAAAGGCCTCTGTTATTCAACAAAGTAGAGTTTAAGGGGGCAATTCACAGAATTAAGGTATGTCCCCGTAGCCTGCTGTTATCTCATCTCCTTTTCACCGAAGATTCCTTCTTCTTTTGTGCGACGACAGATGAGTGTAATGATGTGAGAAGTATTCTCAGTCAGTGTGAGACAACTTCTGGGCAAGTTGTTAACCTCAAGAAATCTAATATCTACTTCAGTCCCAATACACCATCTAATCTCAAGAATTATATAAGAAATATTTTTGGTATTTATAACCCGATTGATCATGGGAGATATTTGGGTCTGTTGTCTTTGAATTGCCGTGGGAAACGAGTAGTATTTGCCTTCATGAAGGATGCACTACGTAGGCGCCTTCAAGGATGTAGCCGTAGATTTCTGTTAAAGGCGGGGAAGGAAATTCTGAACAACTCTGTAGCTCAATCCCTTCCTACATTCTGCATGAGCATATTTCATATCCCTATAACGTCCGTAATGAATTATAGAAACTTATGAATAGCTTCTGGTGGGGAAAAAAGCAAAATGGCAGACTAAAATTGCACTGGATGTCATGGGAAGTGCTTTGCAAGAGCAAGAAGGAGGGGGGAATGGGTTTTCGCGACTTGTATGACTTTAACTTGACCATGTTAGACAAACAGCACTGGAGATTATTTCAAACACCAACTTCTCTTCTTTCCCCTGTTCTAATGGCTAAGTATTGTCCACAGGGTGAGTTATCGTAGACATCTTTGGGTAATAATTTTAGTTACACATAGAGAAGCGTGTTTGCTGCAAAAAGTTTCCTAGAATCTGGGATGAGATGGAGAGTTAGTACATGCGAGTAGATTAGAGTGTGGAGTGATCTTTGGCTATTGAGAGAAAGCGATCACATAGTTAGGAGTCCATGCATAAAGGGAATGGAGGAGATGAGAGCATGCGAGCTTTTGAATAAAGACCTGATTAGCTGGAATGAAGGAATGGCCAGGGGAATATTTGTTGAGGAGGAAGTAGAAGAGATCCTAACATCTAACTAAGTCTTAGATCAAGAGAAGATAAAAGCATTTGGGCGCCGAACAGGTCGGGGAGGTATACAGTGAAATCGACATATATCTATTTAAAGGGAGGGGTTAATTCACATAATGAGGATTTGCAGGGACTTTGGAAGCAGATGTGGAAGACGGAACGTCCTCCCAAGGTCAAAAACTTCACATGGCGACTACCGTCTAATTCTTTTCCAGTCAAAACCCGCTTGAGGGAGAGAGGTATTAATATGTCGCTCACTTGCCTACGGTGTGATCAAGCCAAAGATTCAATCCATGTTTTCCTCGAGTTTAATAAGGCAAAAGGATGTTGGCGGTATTTACAGTTTGATCCTCCAATGACTCAAAGCAGACATATAGTTGAAAGAGTACAACAATTCATCCACAAAAAAACCGCACAGGAAGTGGCAGCAATCGTTTGTTGCATTTGGTTGGAAATGAATGAATTTGTTTGGAATGGTAAGCAGTTCTCTGATCATACTTCAATTTATTCCAAGAAAAAAAGCTTGCAAGAGTGGAAGTTGGCACGAAAAATTGAAAACAGAGGGGTTTGAGCCAACAAGTGCAGAATGTCCCAATCGTTTGGCAACTCATAGAGCCGGGGTATTGCAAATGCAATATTGATGTAGCGGTATATGATGTAGGTGAGAAGTGGGTTTTGGTGCTGTAAAAAGGAACTGGTGAGGGTCTCCCAATTACAGTGTTCTCAGAAAAGTTTCAAGGAAGTTGTTCTCCGTTTTTGGCTGAGTCGCTGACCTGTAGAGGAACGTTGCAATATATACATGATAATGTACCAGGACCCAACACTGTAATACAAAACTGGTTCATGCCGTCCTTCAGTCAAAAAAAAAAGAAAATCATTCTGAACTTGGGTGTATAATCCAGCATTGCAGATATTTGCTTCGGGATAGGCCAGATGTATTGAAAATATGGGTTAGACGAAGCTGTAAAATTATTAGATTGGCACAGACGCTTGATTGTTTCCACCTCTGGGATACTCTACCCCTAGAAGTTGCAAGCCTTTTTTTAACTGTTAATGAAAATGGTCATTTAAAAAAAGTATTTATGTAAAACTAAAAATAATATGCTAATATATTATATTAAAACAAAATGTTAGATTATTATCTATTCAAACTTTAGAATATAATATAAAATAAAATTAATGTGATAATATATAATAAATTATTTATTTAATTATATATATAAATAAAATGTAATTTGTAATTAACTAAAAATTATGTAATATGTAGTTTTTAAATAAAAATAGTTTTTATGATACATAATACTTATTTATTTAAATCTTATAAATATAAATAAACTTAATTTTTAATTAATTATATAATTATAATTTGATAATAAAAAAAACTTTTCTTGATTGCGGTCGATTTTCTTGGAACTCGTTTCGGCCTCCTCTATGCAATTGCTATTTCCTACCAGGCCCCTCATCAGAAGTTAATTACATTTAGACCCAAGCCCATTTATTTATTCTTTTTTCAGAGTTAGATCCCCAAGCCCGTCTTTCAATATCAAAATGGCATGAATTTATTCAAACCCTCTGATTTCGTTTTCTTTTTCCCCCACTACTCTCTCTTATTTTGCCCTTCTTGTCGAGCCAAGCAAGCTCCCTTTCCACTGGATTTCCTTCTTCCAGATTCTGGTACTTCAGCACTGTCTTTCATTTCTCTTCAAATTGTGGCTGTACTAGGTCTGTATCTGTGGCTGTTTTTTTCAATCTTGGAGCGTTTTGGGAAGTGGGTTCCGGGATCAGTTGATGGTAAAACTTTCATAGGAAAACTGAACCTATTTCTTTATGGGATCAAATGGTGCTGCTTTAGGTATTCTATGTTAGATTCACTAATAGCGATGGGAATTTTGTTAGTTCTCCCTTCTATGGTCGAAGATTTCAGTATGGAATACATGGTCTTTTACTTTGTATTATTCGATTGAAGAAGTTGGTAACAGAGTTGATCAGTAACAAAGTTGATTGAGATTATCTTGTGTTTTCATGGAATAAATCCCTCATGGTCCTTTTAAGCAAACTCTAGTTGGAATCCCATCTTATATGATCTTGCTTAAAACAAATTGTAATGAATTCGTTGTTCTTTTATCAATAAATTAGTGGGTACTACATAGATAGAAATGGTAACCCCATAAACTTTTGGTGATTGAATAATAGAGAATTTTCTTTTCCTTACATAAGTAATATTTGGAACTTCCAACTTTTTGATGAAGCTTTTGTCCTCTATATATATTGCATTGGTCTAAGTTCATGACTCATGAGTAAATTGCAGTCACAATAGGTTCACAAGTACTTGTATATATGTTTTATAAAAAAAGAGGACTATTTACACATGATATTTTGGGTTGCACAATAATCCAGGATTCTGGTTATAATCATGTTTTTGTCAAGATTGGTTGGGAGGAGATTCTTGGCTGCTGCAAAATCAGAATCATCTGCTACCACTGGGGCTGCTACTTCTACAGCTAGGGCAGGAGGCAACCCTCTTGAGGAGTTCTTTGAGGCAGATAGAAGCCAAGATGAAGACAAGCCTGTTGTTTATGGTACTAGGTTTTACTTCCTTGATTCCATCTGCTTCTTACTTTTGACTATCAGATAATATGTTCTGTTAGCTCTAATTTTAAATACATATGAATCGTGAATGCCAATCAATTTCAAGGAAGATTTAGCATGAGAGAAATTTGAATTTGGGAATTATAATTTACATGAAGCAAACTTAACTTCACATATAGTGAGCTAGCTGTTACCTCTTTATTCTTTTCATGAATTAATTGCAGAAAGAAGATGAGGAAATTATTCTGAACTATAATGGCTGTTATATTATGAGTCATACTCTTGTCAAATAATGAACTCAAGTACCTTTTTTCTTAGTTTTCCAAATGGTTGAATCCTTCAGTTTAGTTATTTTTCGGTCTGAAATAAGTTAAGAAAAAAAATTGTGTCATCATGCTTCTCAATTGAGTGCATGTACTTATAATTAAATTCTTCAAAATTTCTTTCCTTAAAGCTTCTCTGCATTCAGGTCGAAGTTGGAAAGCTTCAGAACTGCGCTTGAAGTCCTGGGAAGACCTTCATAAGCTTTGGTATGTATTATTAAAGGAGAAAAACATGTTGATGACTCAACGGCAGATGCTGCATTCTCAAAACCTACGATTCCCAAATCCAGAGCGCATTCCGAAGGTACTTGGCACCTTTTCTTTTATTTAATTCCAATTCCTTTGCCAGTCAGTTACTAAATCATGCGTGGAGATTCTCAAACTTTTTTTTTCTTTTTATTGAATATATTCCTTTCTTTCTATAAAATATTTAGTGTTAAAAAAATCTGCTTGCAGAGATAAGTTAGTACTTTGAGTCAGTTGGCTGCATTTTGCTGCAAACTATTGTCTTGCTATATAGCTTTTGGATTATGTTCATATGGTTGACTAGACTATTGCTTAATAACCTTTGACTATCTGGAATCATATGTTAGGTCCTTAGATTGGGATGTATTTCTGGGTTTGAATAGAGGTAATGTTCATTAAGAGAGGACCATTCGATTTCCATAATGGCTCATTAAAAGAGAATGCTTCGATCTCTGACGTTAATAAAAATCTCACACTTCTTTTTGAGACAAATTCTGCTTAGTAATTGTTCAGTCAAACATCTAAATTTATACAAGAAACTAACTGCTTCTAAGGAATAGATATCCATGCTGAAAAAAAAGTTTACATAGAAAACTAACTTCCTTATCTGTAAAGAAAAAATAAACAGATCAGAAACTGGCTATAACCATCTATCCCAACTCTTCAATTCTTTTTCCTCTTCTGCCTGTGCTTAAATTGTTTATATGACAGACCACTGAATATGTTTGCAATTTAGCTATATTATTCTCCACCTATCACATCATTCCCATCTGCAAGAATGAGGTTGTCAACAAGCATGAAGGAAAGAAACTGTTGTCAGAAAGTGTGGAAGTCACTCATTATTGTTGACTCTGTACCAATACCAAGGTTGGGAGTTAGTTATGGGTTGAATATCCTGTAAGGGATCATTAAGAGAGAACTCTTCAATCTCTGAGCACTGAGAAATTCACACTATTTTCAGGCAAAAGTTATTTGGCCTTTATATAGTCCAGCATCTAAATTTATACAAGAAGAAACTACTCCTTAGGAATAGGTAACTTCCTTGCTGGAAGGAACCAACTTCTGCATCTGTAGGAAACAGAAACAACTTCCACAGCTGTAAGAAAAACATAAACAGATCAGTAACAGACTTGAAACTTTCTACACAAATCCTTCAATTTTTCTCTTTTCTCTTTTCCCCATGTGTAAACTCTCTATACACCAATCTACGGAATGAGGATGCTTGTATTGGAGCGTAATTCTGTTGTTCTGGTAGATCGTCCGTAACTTTATGCTATCTGCTTCTTGTTGCATAAGGCAGTGCTTTTTTTTTTGTTTTTTACCAGCAATTCCTTTTGTGCTAAATGATGCCTCTTGCTAATTTATATGGATTTTGGGTTTCTAATTCCTGTGTTGTGCATTGTGGGCTTCTTTCTGTTTTCCTATAATAGAAGAAACAACATTTTGCTAATTGGATTCTTTATTTCTAATGGCAATCAAATCCAGGTGAGGAAGTCAATGTGCCGTATAAAGCATGTACTAACTGAGCGGGCAATTGACGAGCCAGATCCCAGGAGGTCTGCTGAAATGAAGAGGATGATAAATGCTTTATGATATGTTCTATGCTTGTCTTGGTTCCTAGGGCTACTGTTGTTGCTGGATGTGATACTTCAAAATTTTGTATGTTGGAATTTCATCCTTCTGGTAATTTATAAAACATGTGTTTCTTCCACACTTAAAAGTTTTATCAGTGGTTAGGATCAACAAATGATTTTTGTATCTGTAGACCTACTGTGTGTGTTGAACCATTGTTATCAAGTAAATGATAACAAGAAAGCAGTGAGCTGTTGAGCTTTCTAATGTTACCTTGGGAACTTGTAAATTATATCAAAATAAGATATAAATGATGGGATATGGCATTATGGTGTCTGAGAAAGTGCCATGACTAAAATGTTGCCGATCCAAATTCTCCATGTCAATGAAGGTATGGATGGAAGGCCATGAATCATCTTGAATACCATTTAATGAAATAAGCACATGGTTGTGGTGACAGAAAAGGTAGCATTTTTCCCCCCCGAGAATTCTGATGAAAAGGTGATATGGTTTAAGGAATTTTCTGCCATTATCAGGGATAAGCACATTTTGGTGGATCATAGGTTGTAATTTCTAGCCTTTTCTTATGTCTCCCCAGGCAGATTGAACAAATTTTTTTAAAAGTTTTTTATTTTTGCATATTACTGTACCTTGTAATTTTTAGATGCCGAAAGCAGCATATAGTTGAATTCTTGAATTTTATGCCACACTCTCTTAAAAATCATCGAAGTGTCAATTACATGAAACAGTTCTATCGAAGCGTCACTACATGAAGAGGTTATTCTTTTCTATCTTTCATCCAAATCTTAAAAAAGATCTAGGTAAGGCTGGTTCTTGTCATCTCTTTTCCATCCCCACTTTCCCAGCTAAGTGCCAAGACTCATATATCTAGCAACTATCAGTAGCATGGTCCCGGCCCCAAAGAGTATGTTATTATTGTTCCAAAGAGGAGAGCCAAAAACATGTTTTTATTCTTGGCCTCACAAGCAAGCAATAATGTTACTGATAAGGGGAATTGAAGGGGCCCCAAATTGACCCTTTTGCATTACAAACTCAATTGAAAGAGTGAGACAGAGAGAAATAAGAATGAAAGTGAAGTTAGAGATAGTCGTGGTTTTGTGGTAATGTATATACATACAAATATGAGACCACGATTCAAACTTTCTCTTAAGCATTCAATTTAATGGGGGCAGTTTATTGCAGTGGATTAAAAAAAGCCTATACTGAAAGGTAAAGTGGAGAGGTAGGTGGATAACAAATTGGGTATTAAGTTTGAGATTCATCCATTTGGCCAAAACAGGAAATTATGAGAGCTTATTCACAATCCAAAAAAGAAAAAAAAAACTCATTCCCCTAGAGTTCTCTTTTTAATTTTCCTTGTCTGGAAGAAATGTATGCAATGATTGAAGCAATCAAGATTCTAGACAATGACATTCTCACTTGTCCAATTTGATAACCATTACATTTTTCTTTTGGTGGATGATCAGTTCTATGTACCTTTCATTGCAGATGCTAATATCAGAACCTAGCACTCTGTTTGGCAAGGTTAATATTGTTGGCATAGGGAAAAAACTGAGGGTAAAAGCAAAAAAGGGTAATGACGAATGTGTTTGTGTGTGTGTTTTGAAGGTTTTATTATTTTATTTGTCTATTTAAAAAAATAGAAAAGAAAAGAAGAGTAGGAAACTTCATAAATAATGACTGATGCTTACTCAAGCATGAACCTCCCAAAAAAAATCATTTTCTTTTGCCAGGAACAGAACATTTTACATCACACCCTTTTTACATTTTATAGTAATGTGTGCTGGGACATCTCAGGACAACCTTAACTTCTCCATCATATGGTATCATGTGAAGCTAGATTTACCATTTTGCCCTCACAAAAAGGGTCTTATTCCCAAAATACTATTCGGGGCACATAAAGCCCAAACAAATCGCAATTTCTCAGCTAAACAAATGGAAATCAGAGGGCCCACATCAGAAAATCAAAAGTCAAATACCCACAGATCAGTCAAAACACATATCACCCCTCCCCACAATCTAGTCCAGTCCATTTCAATAAACAAGCCTCAGACCGCATAATTTCCACCTAACTCACCGCCCCGTCAGCTTATCATCCCTCTCTGCCCAGCACCCTGCCCGATCTGCCCGACCCTGCCCGTCCTGGCTCTTCCAAGTACCCCAGCACACCTTTCCTTTTGCCGTCTCTCTCTTTGCATCTTTCTCTTCGATTTCTCCCTCTCCCTCTCCCTCTCATTCTCAATTTGCTCGATTTTCTCTCTCTAAATTTTCCACTTATTTTCTCTCTCTAGATCGAAAAGCGGCTACTGTTAATCAATCGCCTCTCTCAATTGATCGCTCTCTATGTTGATGGATCTGGGTTTTGATTAGATCGGACAAGTCTATTTTCCGTCAAAACCCTAGAATCGGGGGATTCGATTGGCTTGGCGGATAAACTAGGGTTTTCGTTGGGGAAATGATGATAGATAGGGTTTTGTCTGGATCTAGGTTTTGAAACCGGTCAGAATTTTCGTGAAAGACAGGTTTTCGGAGGAAGGACAAGGAATAAGGAGGAGGGGATTGATGGTACTCGAAGGGGAAAATGCAAGGAGGCTATGCATGGGAGGGTATGTGAGGATAGGAAAAGGGTTCGGCACATGTGGACAGCTCCCTCGCGTGTCACTGCGAGTGTGAACGCTGATGTTTCTTCGTCTTCGTCATCTTCATCCAATTCTTTTTGCAAGGTTATCCATCTTAATTTAATTATCCGGGATTTTGAATAGGTTCTTTTTTTTATTGATTTCTCTGGTTTCTTTTGCTGAAGTCAGAATATAACGATTTGGCTCCTTTAGATGTTTTTGTGGTTTTATTTTCATTGATGGGGGCGATTGAGGAGATAGATTAAAGTTTGTGGAAAATGATCGGTTTCAAGTCAATTAATAGGTAAATTAAACTGATGAATGGTCTTTGCGGACGGTTTAATTGGCTTCGTAGATGTGACATTGAACAAATTAAGGTGTTGACTTAGTCTGGTACCTTGGCTTGCTTGATACTGTCTAGGCCAATTTGAAGAGGCAAATTGCTCCGTCTTGATTACTATTGAAGTGTAAAGCTTGTTTCTGGGAAAAAAAATTTGCGTTGAAATTAGTTTTCTGTGGGCCATCATTGTTCATGCCAAATCATGTTGTGCCACTTGTTTTTGTTTGAAATCTTTGGTTGATACGGAATATTTTCTATGTACATCAGTATTTGGTGATTTTCGATTAGAAAAAACCTATTAGTTTTCATGTGTTCGGATCATCATACATATATCTTGTTTGCTTTTAATTTGGTTCGCACACGTTTCCTTAATATGGATAATGTTTTCTTCTTTTTTCCTATATAGAAAAGGTGTTGACAAAATGACATTTTTCTTTCAACCGGCCTTGTCTGAACTTTGATTTTGAAGTTTTTGAGTCATTTTCCAACTGTGTTATGTAGTTTTTGATAAAGGTCAATGGAAACGTATCAGGGAAAGTAGCTTTTCTGATGGTTGAGCAATGTAGACATAAATTTTATTATTTGATGTAGGAGGGGTGGTAATTGATGGGGAGAAATCAGATCTTTTTGGAGCCAAATTATGAAAGTAGTTAATTATATATACGAGGAGACATCTGGAGGCTGCCAACATTAGCAAACCTTCATGATGCTTAAGTTTAAGAATCTGTGTCGTCAAGTAATTGCGTCAAGAACTCCAACCTAGTGTTTTGCCTCCTTGAAGAAGAAAATTAACTATGTGACTTTTTGTAAAATAAAGGGAAAAGAAATATGTTTAAGATAATCCTGCGTTGGTTGATCCTTTTTCTTGCTTGTTCAATCTTCTGTTTAATTTTTTGTGTTCATTTACATTAAAAAAAAGACTTGGAAGCTTGTTTTTACTGCAATGGAAGATAGATGGGTTTTCCTGTTTCATTAGTAAAGACCTATATTTGGAGGAATCACTCCTCTGGGAGGAGCCTTTGCTTTTATATCTATAACTGAACCATCTTTCACCGTGCTGGACAGGGCTACTGTTTCTATTGGTGTGTACTCATCTCAATTATTCTTGTAATAATTGGCCTTTTGGCCAATTATGCTATGGTTGGCCTGGAATACATCTTGGTTTGTTGATGGAAACATTTCTGGTGATGGAGTTAGATATTTATTCCTCCTCTTAAGTGATAAAATGGTGGAATGTGGCATATGCATGTGTTGGTCAAATTGGGAAATTTTTTGTTCACAAAAATTGTCCTTATTTAATCTGAGAAAAGTTTGTTACAGTTTGGATATACTGAGATGCTTGTTTATCTTGCTTTTTTGCTCCAATTTGCTATGGTCCTTAGTATTTGATAAATTTATTTTATGTCTCACTGTTGCTTTTAGGTTTTTCAGGGCTGGTTTGCATGTGATTGTTTTGAAGAAAGTTGTGATTACGGTTGATTATGGAGAGCTTATAGGTGTTAGAAGGGAAATTGCACGGTTTATGCCATTGTGGGGCTATTTAAAAAATTCCTGCTGATAAATCCTCTAAATTTGCTTTTTCATTCTGCTTGTGTCTTGCATTAGTTGTTTTCGTCATCTGGTGAATGTCTCAATGCTAAGTGACAATTTTGCTGATGGTGATAAAAAGAATGTGCATTTATTTAACCACATATTTCTAAGGTTTTATTCATCATTCTTGCTTTCGATTCCATTGTTATTCATATATATATATATGTTCATTTTATAGTTCTCAAAATTTTTCTCTTTGTAGGACGGACGCAAAATCAGTGTTGGTGATTGTGCTCTTTTCAAACCACCGCAAGATTCCCCACCTTTCATTGGACTAATCCGTTGGGTGACTGCTGGTAAAGAAAATAAGTTAAGATTGGGTGTGAATTGGCTTTATCGTCCTGCTGAAGTAAAGCTTGGCAAAGGCATCCTTTTGGACGCCGCGCCGAACGAGATTTTCTATTCCTTTCATAAGGATGAGATTCCTGCTGCATCCTTACTCCACCCGTGTAAAGTTGCCTTCCTTCCTAAAGGTGTTGAACTTCCATCAGGGATTTGCTCTTTTGTGTGTCGGCGAGTTTATGACATCACAAACAAGTGTTTATGGTGGCTAACTGATCAAGATTATATTGATGTGAGTTTTAGATGATTTTGTGCAAAATTTAAGTTGTTCTTTAATTGCATAATTTTGAGTAGCTAATACTTTGTCTTCAACAGGAGCGACAGGAAGAAGTAGATTTGCTGTTATATAATACGCGTTTAGAAATGCATGCGACATTGCAACCAGGTGGCCGTTCTCCAAAGCCAATGAATGGTCCTACACCACAGTTAAAACCCAGTTCAGATAGTGTACAGAACAGCGCCTCGATTCCTTCCCAGGTTAAGGGAAAGAAGAGGGAACGTGTGGATCAGGGTTCTGAGCCTGTTAAGCGAGAGCGTTCTATGAAAATGGAAGATGGGGATTCTGGTTATGGTAGATCTGAAAGTTTTTTAAAATCTGAGATTGCAAAAATTACAGAAAAAGGGGGTCTTGTAGATTCTGAAGGTGTGGAAAAATTGGTGCAGCTAATGTTGCCTGAGAGAAATGATAAGAAAATAGACTTGGGTGGTCGGTCTGTTCTTGCTGGTGTTGTTGCAGCCACAGATAAATTTGATTGTCTTAGCCGGTTTGTTCAGCTCAGGGGTTTACCTGTGTTTGATGAATGGCTCCAAGAAGTCCACAAAGGGAAGATTGGGGATGGTTATAGTCCCAAGGATGGTGATAAATCTGTTGAGGAGTTTCTCTTGATTTTACTTCGTGCACTTGATAAATTGCCTGTAAATCTTCATGCTCTTCAGATGTGTAACATAGGCAAGTCTGTGAATCATTTGCGTTCTCACAAGAACTTGGAAATTCAGAAGAAAGCGAGGAGTTTAGTTGACACATGGAAGAAACGTGTAGAAGCCGAAATGGATGCAAAGTCAGGGTCCAATCAGGGAGTCTCCTGGCCAGCAAGACCTCGGCTTCCTGAAACCTCACATGGTGGGAACAGACACTCAGGTGGATCATCAGATGTTGCTATGAAGAGCTCAGTAACACAGGTTTCTACGTCTAAAGCTGCTCCAGTTAAGCTTGTCCAGGGGGAAACACTTTAAAGTCTGCATCTCTTCTCCAGGATCTATGAAATCAACCCCTCGCCTGCATCAGCTAGCACAAGCTTAAAAGATGGACAACCAAGAAATACTGCTGTTGGCGGTGCATCTGATCTCCCTCTATCAGCAGCAAGGGATGAAAAAAGCAGTAGTTCTAGTCAATCCCACAACAATAGTCAGTCTTGTTCAAGCGACCATGCTAAAACTGGGGGGTTTTCTGTGAAGGAAGATGCGAGGAGCTCCACTGCTGGTTCGATGACCGTGAATAAGAATTCAGGTAGTTCTTCACGACACCGGAAAGCAATGAATGGCTTCCCAGGATCAGCTCTATCTGGGGCTAGGGAAACAGGGTCAAGCAAGAGCTCTTCGATGCAAAGGAATACTGCTCCAGAGAAATTATCACAGTCCACTTTGACATGTGAAAAACTTGTTGATGTGTCCATGGGCGAGGGGAATAGTCACAAGTTGATCGTTA